GGGTGGATGGATGGGTGGATGGGTGGGTGGATGGGTGGATGGGTGGATGGATGGGTGGATGGGTGGGTAGGTGGATGGATGGATGAGTGGGTGGATGGATGGATGGGTGGGTAGGTAGGTGGGTTAATGGATGGGTCAGTAACTAAGCAAGGGAGTGGATGAGTGAATGGATGAACAGAGGGCGAAGGAGGTGGAGAGAGAAGGGAGGAGTTAGGGGAGATGGCTGGTGGAGGCTGTCAGTGGCGGATGGATCCACGCAGCTTGTCCTCTGTGCTCCAGCGATCCAACCACGAATCCCCTACGGCTTTCCCTCTCGAGCCTGCGCCCCTCTGACAGTCCCCCCTGCTCCCTGCGTACCACCTCACCCCGCATGGCCTCTGGTCTCAGGCTTTCTGCTGCTTTCACACGGGTCTTGGTCTTTCCAGCATGAGTGCCTGGCGAGCCCTCCGCGGCTCCGCACTGCCCGCCCCAGGACAGCGCCTCAGCCTGGCCCTAGGCGCTGAATGCCTCCCATCCTGGCCCCTGCTGCTGCCCCCAAGCACCGCCCCCGGGAGGCAGCAGACCACACCCAGGGGTTGCTGTGCCAGCTCGGTGCCCTCCTGCACAGCACCCATGTGCCAGGGCGGGCCGAGGGGCAGGATGGCGCACACTCTCAGCCCGCCCCTCGCCCGCAGCCTGACCCTCTTCGCCAAGATCTGCGAGAAGACGGTACTGAAGCGGGTGCTGAAGGAGCTGTGGAAGCTGGTCATGAACACCATGGAGAAGACCATCGTGCTGCCGCCGCTCACCGACCAGACAGTAAGCCCGCGGGCCAGGGGACGCCGACCCCACGCAGCCCAGCGCTGGCCTCCAGGCCGGGGCCAGGCCAAAGGCACTGGCGCAGAGAGTATCGGGGAAAGGGCTACTCGTGGGTGATGGGATCCACCAGAGGTCATGTGAAGGGCAGAAAGGTCATTCGTGGGCCAAGGATCATCAGAAGGAAGCCAGGCATGGTGGCACACACCTTTAATCTCCGCAGCAGGGAGGCTGAGGCAGGAAGATCACAGTGAGTTCAAGACCAACCTGGGCTACATAGTGAGCTCAAGGCCAGTCCAGACTATGGAGGAGACCTTGTCGCAAGCAAAACAAAGCAAATAAACAAAAAGGATCATCAGAGGGTGAAAGGGTCATTCACGGTCGAAGGTCATTCAGGGGTCCTTTGGTTGGGGTTATGCCGAGATCACAGAGGTCAAACAGCCCAGAGGCTGATGAGACACAAGTCGCAGGTGGCCCAGGGTCGTCTGGGTTTCGGAGATCACCTGGAAAACAGGTCAGCTTGGGGGTCAGGGCCACCCACAGTCCTGGGGACCACAGGGTCCTCAAAGAGTTCGGGACTCACTCGAGACAAGGAGCAGTTAGCCACCCACAGAGCAGAGGGCTTCGGGGGTCAGCGAGAGCCACAGAGGTCAGAGGCAAGGAGGGGTCAGTGGCTCTCTGAGATGCTTCTGGGGCCAGACGGGGGCCACTGGCCCAGCAATGGCAGGGGCAGAGGGGGCGGCGGGTGCAGAAGGGTCCCTCCCCTGGGCAGGGCAGGGCAGGGCAGGGCAGGG